GACTCTGCTCTGCTGCCTCCTCTGTGATCCCCTCCTGCAGATCAAGGGCTGGGGCAGTGAAGGATTCAGCTTTGCTGAGATTTAAGTAAAAGGTCGCCCTGTGTTCACAAGGCAGGTGTGGCACAACATCCCTCTCCAGGCTGATCCAGGGCTGCTGAGCAGAGCAGCTGAGCCCTCAGGTGACAGCAGGCTGGGAGAGCTGGGGGTGTCCAGCTGAAGAAGAGAAAGCTCCAGGGAGAACTTACAGCCCCTTCTAGTGCCTAAAGGGGCTTCAGTAGAGCTGGAGAGGGACTTGGGACAAGGGCCAGGAGGGAATGGCTTATTGCTGCCAGGGGGTAGGGTTAGATGGGATATTAGGAAGGAATTGTTCCCTGTGAGGGTGGGGAGGGGCTGGAATGGATTTCCCAGAGTAGCTGTGGCTGCCCCTGGATCCCTGGAAATGTCCAAGGCCTGGTTGGACAGGGCTTGGAGCAACCCATGGCAGGGGGTTAAAGGAGATGAACTTTAAAGTCCCCTGAAGCCCAAACCATTCTGTGATTCCGTGATTATCCCCTGCCTCTTTACAAAACTGCTTAAAATGGGGGTTTGGATGAAGATGGGATCATGGATTCTGATAGTGACAACTCGGCATCACCAAAAGCAGATTGTGTCTGATGCTCTCAGAGCTTTCTTGGGTGCCTAGCAGAGGGATTTGGAGGAGGAGACTGAGGTGAGTTGGCATTGCTCCTGGGGGTCCCCCAGTTCCTGCTGTCTCTGGGGTGCAGCTGCCTGCAGAGCTGTGGGGATGTCACTCTGGCCAGCTTTGCACTTGTTACCATTTGGAAGAAACCCATGGGAATATTTATGGTGTTGGACTTTGATTTGTGAGCTGGGATCATGCCCTGAGCTAGAGATACCAGATTAAAAACAAACCAACCCAGAAGCACGTGGAGTAACAGCTGTTTACCCCCTGCTTTGTCTTCCCTTGTCAGGAGTCTGTATCTGTGCTCAACCTCTTCACCAGGATACGATAAACCCCCTCCCTGTGCCCCGGGAACCTACAGCCTGACATTCCAGGATCAGAGCGCTCCCTCGGCGTGCATGGACCTCCGGAGCCCAGCCAAGGGGAGGGAGAGCCGTGGGACTGCAGGAGGACCCAGCTCATTAAACATGTGCTTGTGACCCACGGGGCTGGGCAGTATTTGGGATGGGGTGGGGAGGGGAGGGAACTGCCAAAGGTTATTGGATTCATCCTTCATAAAGGGAAACGGGTACAAGAGAAGCGTTAACCCAGCATCCTCTGGCTGTCAGGATGGTACTGGGGAGGACTTGTGTGACATGGACTATTGAGACTGGACTGAGGCCATCCCCACTGCCATGGTGTGCCTCCTGCGAGAGAGGAGCATATCCTTGCTGCTGTGGGAAGGGGTTTGACATGCTGCTCTGTGTCCCAGAGTGACATCTCTGGCGACATGAGCCAGCCAGCCTGGTCCGGTACAGCTGCTGCGAGGGGCACAGCTCCAGGCTGAGCATCTAAGGGCTTTGTTCATAGCCTGGCATCCCCATTCCAGGAAGAAACTGGAGAACTGCCTATGTTCCTTTTTTTTTCTTTATTTTTCCCCTCAGACAGGTACTGTAGTACTTGACATGATCATTCCATAAGACAGCTTGATTTTTTTAGGCATGCTTGACAGCTGCCTCCGAACAAATACACTTTGGGGCTCTGGACTTTGGAGGAGACTTGAAAAAGCTTCACCTCAAAGGGAGCAGATTTGGGAAGTTCTGCAGTTGCTGTTTCGTGTTGTGGGCTGATCCCTGGGAGTTACCAGAGAGCAGAAGATAAACCCACCCAACCACCTGTGCATGTGGAGCTTCCTTCTGTGCCACTGTGTGGGTGCCTAGTTCTGGAGTCTCCCTGAGTCCAAAAGCAGCTGGGATGTGTTTGAGGAAAAAAAAATCCTAAAGATCTGATTTTTGGGGTGAGCAGGGCCTCTTCTGGCTGGAAGAGGGGTTCTGAAGTAGGGCTGCAGCGTTGCTTTTTTGTTATCTCCAAGTCCCACACAGGGCCATGCTGTTGAGTTTTGGTGTGTGGTTTGGGGTTTTTAGGTTGTGTGGGACACACAGCTCTGGCTGGTATTGGAGCCCATGGGGTGTAACACAAATGATCTGTGTGTGTGTGGTGCTTTTAATTTAAGAGGAGCTGTGAGGCTGCACAGCCTGTTCATCTGACCTGTGCCTGTGCCTGCCCAGGCCCTGCCTGCCTTCTGCCCTCTCCCAGTGTTGCTTCCTGTTCCCATGTGGAATTCCCTGGCTGTGTATATAGACTTGTCTTCTCTCTGTAGATTGCATAGGTAATGCTTTCCCTTTCTTTTTTTTCTTTGTTGTTTTGTCTCTTCTCCCTTCTTTCCCTAAAACCAGGTGGTAGAATATGATTGCCTGTCCCCGGTACCACCAGTATCCTTAGGGTGAGCCAAGGTGTGAGAAGGCCAATACAGCCTTGACCACATGTGCCATCACCCCAGTGCCTGGATCAGGCTGGTGGTGCTGCACCTGCATCACACGTACTGGGAGTCACTGGGAGCCCCCTGGCAGCTCTGAGTCTCCCAGACCCACAGGCCACTTTGTCATCTCACAGTCTCACTTGCCACCAAAATGGAATTGCCATGGAGTTTTTGAAACACTGAGTGTAACTGCTTTAGTGTAGCTCTAGCTGTGGGATGTGTGGCATGGTTTGAAGTCATCCCCGAGCCTGTCTTGTGTTTTTTGTTCCACTTGTTGGCACTGTTCCACATCACCGTGGGTTGGGAGCATCCCAAAGCACCCAGGAGGTGTTAAATTGAGTTGGATCATTCAGCTGGGGAATGAGTTTGAAGTAAAGGGTCACCTGCAGGAAGAGGTGGTCTGTTGTGGGTGTCATCATCTGAGGAAAGGGCCATTCAGGGAGGCTGGTGGCTGTGCTGTGCATTTTCCTGTTGAGGGTTGCCTCCTGCTAAATAGCACTGTGCAGACCCCCAGGACACACGGCTTTCTCCTCTGGGAGGGTGTAGGTGCTTGGGTTGGAGGCACACAGGAGGTGTCAGCCCGTTCTGGAGCAGGACACCTGGCTGGAATGTGTGGTGATGTTTGGGCTCCACAGTGCCCTGGGGATCCACAGGAGTAGAATTACCTCTCAACCTGTGATGGGGGAACTTCCTCAAAGAGTCCCAGAAGATGGTGGGGGAATGGCAGTGCTGTGGGGTGGGCACTGCAGCCACTGCCTACTGCTCCCAGCTGCAGAGCAGGGATAGCTCCTCATTGCTTTGTCTCCCACCATTGTCCCCTCTTGCCGAGGACTTTCCTAAACTATGTCTTGTGTCTACATCTTGCTTTTCTGTCTGCCTTGGGAGAAGATTGGCTTGTGGTGGCTTCTCCTACTGCACTTGGCAGGGAGGCTGGTGAGTGCCAGGCCAGGGATAGTGAGTGCCAGGCCAGGGATAGTGATTGCCAGGCCAGGGATAGTGATTGCCAGGCCAGGCTGAGCAGGGGAGGATCAGGCTGCTCCCCCTGGCCTTGCTGTCAGCCCAGCACTGCCACCTTCTCTGCCCTGCTGCCAGCTGCCAGGCAGGGGCTCCCAGTTGTATGGAGGTGTGTGCAAGTGCCTCAGGGTGTTCGTGTCACTGTCACCTGCTGCTGAAAAGGGCAGAACTGAGGTGGTGTGTCAGTGTGTGTGACCTCTGGGCACTGGCTCGGGCACAGGGTCCTCCCAGAGCTGGGTGACAAAGTCTGTGGCATCGTATCCCAGGTGTCATGTGATGGAAAACAAACATGGGGCACGCTGTAACTTTTTAATGTAAAGCAATTGAACTGGCATTAAATGGGTTGTGAATTTACTGGGTTTGGTCTCCATGGCTCCACTTTGCTTCTCCGCAGCGAAGGGTGCAGCAGGTCCCCACCCCACCTCTGCAGGTAGCAGCTTTCTTGGCACAGATCTCACCTGTGCTTTATTGCTCCCAGCTTCCCACTCTTGTTTGCTTTGGTGCTGCTGGCAAAGGGCACAGCCCCTCCTTGGTGTGGGGCAGTTGCCAGGGTATAGCTGCAGCACAGCTGGGGGTGCAGAGCCCCTCACTCCTGCTGTCCCCATGGTGGAACCCTCACGGGGGGGCACCTCCTCCCTGGGCACCTCTCCAGTGGGGTACAGCCCTGTGCCCACAGCCGTGTGCTGTGTTCAGCCCTCAGGAGGGACATGGAACCCTGCAGCTCCCTCCCCCAGTGACTGGTGCCTGATGCTGTGGGGACCAGTCCTGCTGCTGGAAGACCCCACTGGGCTGGGGGGTGTGGGGCAGAGCTGCTCCATGGGGCTGAGCAGCAGGGTGAGGAGGGGGAGGATCCCTGACCTTGGCATCACCCACTGCTGCTGCCCCAGGCACAGAGCTGAGCTGCGGGTCTGAGGAAGGAATGGCACAGAGAAAAGGGTTGTCAGTGCCTCAGTTTCCCCATCTTGGTGCTTGAGGGAAGCCCCAGGGCCCCTTAACTCGCCTAGAATGTGGTTAAGCTCCAGGGCTTTGCGCTAGGTAGATCCTTTGGGGTGCAGGTTCTGCTGTGCCCCCAGCTCTGCTTCCACCCCCAGCTTATGCTCAGAACCTGTGGGAACCATTGTCCCCACTGTGTACCTGTGACTCTACACCTGCTGGAAGCCCTTCCTCTGGCAGGTGAGCCCTGTGCTAGGGAAGGAGCAGGGTAAGAGCCAGGGCCTGGCCAGCTGCAGGGCCCTGGGGCTCCCTGGTGCTGCCCACGACTCCCTTCCCCTCTGTCTCCCCCTGTCACCAGCAGCCAGTGCCCCAGGGGGCTGCTCAGGGTCTTCTGCTGCTCCCTGGACCCCTGGGACATCAGCACCTGGAGCTGCTTCCCCACAGCAGTCAGAGTCAAAGCCCCTGCTCCTGCCGTGTCCCGGTCTGTTCTGGGAAGCAGGGGGTGCATGGGGGGCTGGTTCATGCTCATCCTATGGCATCTGGCCCAGCAAATAATAAGTATTAATATAATAGTGGTTTTTATTAATCTTTATTAATAGATTATTCTATTCTCTGTGCCCCGGCCTTGCCTGGGGCTTGGCCCCCTCTCTCTGCTCCCTCTTGGCAGGGAGGGCTGGCTGGGGCTGGTGCTGACTCCAGCTGATTCCCTGCTCTCTGCCCCACCAGCAGCTCCCTGGGTCTCTTCTGCTGCTGCTCAGGGTGGGCAGACACGGAGAGATGGAGCCTCAGCCTGTGGGTGTCCCAGGCAGGGTGGGGAGCTGGGAGGCACTTGGTGACAGCCCTGCCCCAAAAGGCCAAGGAAGCTCTGGCTGGAGCTCTGCTCATCTCCTCGGTGGCCTCACGTTGTCTTGTACCTGGGGGGAGCAGGGTGAGGAGGAGTCTCTGCTGGGGACAGAGACCCCCCCATGCCCCCCACTCACTGCTGGGACAGGTTGAGGTCTGGCCCAGCCCCTGCGAAGGACAACTGCTGTTCCAGCTCAGCGATGCGCAGGCCGATGTACCCCGAGGACAGCAGCAAGGCCACCATGCTGAGGACAGGCCAGCGTCAGCCAGGGGCACAGGGTGGCCACATGGGGCACAGGGTGGCCACATGGGGCAAGGAGCAGTGCCATGGGCAGGCCCCTGTGTGCTCGCCCTGGGGATGGGGGTCTGAGGGACCCCAGCCTGCCCGTGCCACCCGGGAGAGGCTGTGGCAGTAGGGATGGGGACTGGGGCTGTGAGCGGGTCCTGGGGACTCACAGCAGCAGGTAGATGGTGATGATGATGTTGAGGGAGCTCAGCTGGGGGTTTATCCAGGACCAAAGTGCAGTGGCCCAGGCACAGAGCACGGAGTGGGGTCGCCCTGTCAGGACAAAGCAGTGCTAGTGGCACTGAGAGTCTGTGCTCAGCTCTGCCAGGGTGTAAACCCCCAGGATCATTCTCCTCCATCCCAAACCCCCTGACCCACCCCAGAGGCCATGTGTCTTTGCTGAGGGCACCCATTCGCTGCTGCGGGGAACCAGCAGGGCCACCTCGCCATCCTCATCCTCCGCTTGCCTTGATCTCAGGTTCGGCTCATCTGCAGGTGACCGGGAGACACTCGGTGAATGCCCCAGGGAGCAGTCTAGGTGTCCTGGGGGCACACAGGGCCACCAAGTGTTGATCCTGCACTCCCTGGAGCTCTGGGGATGCTGGATGGGGGGCGAGGGCCACACGGTCCCCCCAGCTCCTCGCGGAGCCCAGAGCTGCCAGTGGGGCACGGACACGGGCAGGGACACGGGCAGGGCTGTGAGCAGGCGAGCAGAGCAGCGGGGTGGCCGCTCACCCAGGGCTTCCTGGAGGCTGTTGGGCTCCGGGGTGCTCTGCTCCGGGGCTGACTGGCTCAACATCTGGAAAAGGACAAGCCCCAGTCATGATGTGTGCCCTCAAGGCACCTGCCCCGCTGCCATGGGGACATGGGCAGGACCTGACCCACTGTGGCACCCACAGGTGGTGGTGAGTGACCCACCCACCCCAGGGAGGTCCTGGGGTCTGTGCTGCCTCAGGCTGGGGCTTTTCATGTTTTCCCCCACATACCAACCCACCCCATCCAGAGGGCAAGGACCACTCCTGTTGTACCCTCCTGCCCTCCATTCCCTGGACTTACCTGAGATTTCCCAAGGGTTTCCTCCCAGCTCGCTGAGTCTCGAGAGCTCTGGCCACTGTCCTGGACAAGGAGAGAGGAAGGGAGGTGTCCTGCAATGGATGGATGGAGCCTCCCTGCCCATCCCATCCCCACGTACCTGCAGGTGTTTGCACACCGACCTCAGGAGTTGGTACGTGGCCTCTCGCTGGCGCAGCGCCACAAAGAGGAACTGCCGGGGAGCGAGAAGGGGATTTGTGCCAGAGCTGCCCCCTCGGGCACGGCCCAGAGCCCCTGGGGACTGCGACACTGCAGACAGCCCCAGGTGAGGCTGCCCCAGCACTGTCCCCCTCTCACCTTTTCCCCCTTGGCCGTGCGGATGCTGATTGCGTTGGGCACCAGCAGCGCCGTGTTGGTCTTCTTGAGGGCTGAGATGGAGGCGACAGGGACCACGGCCTGTGCCGGGGAGGGGGGGGACAGGCTGTGTCACCGTGTTCCAGCTGCCACCTGTGCCCCTGCCTGCCCCACGGCCGCTCCAGCCCCACCTTGATGTCCTTGAGCAGGAGGCTGGAGTGGAAGCAGATGTGGCGGGAGGACACGTAGAGGCGGCCGTGGTAGGGCATTTCTCTCTGCCAGGCGCACGAGAAGCAGCCCAGCAGCGCGTCCTGCTCGGCGAGCCCCCCGAAAACCCGGCGGTAGCTGCTGTCCTGCTTGCTCAGCTGCGGGAGGTCGGGGGGTTGGTGCTCGGGGCCGGCCCTGGCACTGCGGGCACCCTGCAGCCCCCTGCTCCATCACCACGTCTGCATCGGAACCGGGACGAGCTGTCCCTCGGTTCCCACCCCAAAAGAGCGCCCAGCCGAGCCCATGAGGCCGGGGCTGGGGTTCTGCTCCTCAGCTCAAGACTCACCGAGGGGGATGGGGGTCCCTGCCTGCCCGTGGCCGCCTGCTCTGCCTCCTTGCAGGAGGACTCATAGGTTCTGGATCTGGAAGGAGGCATCGGAGGGGGTGACTGGAGGGGCACAGGTGGGAAGTGGGGCTGGGATGCGCCCCCACGAGGGGCAGCACCCACCTGGTGAGCTTGGGATGCTCCAGCTGGGCACTTCCCCTCTCCTCCAGGCTCCGCCACTGCTTCTCCCCCAGCACCTCCCGCCTGCTGCGCCTCAGCCTCCCCGGCATGAGGGATGGCTCCGAGAGCCGGGAGAGAGGGGACAGCTTGTGGGAACGGTCTATTCCTGCAGCACAGCAGATCCAGTGTCACCAACCCGTCCCTCCACAGGGGAGGACACGGGGCCGGGCCCGGGACAGCAGAGCTCACCTGCTTTCGTGACCCCTTTTCCCGTCCCATGGGTTGTCCTGGCTGCGACCCGCGTGGGCAGCAGGGGCTGGGGTGATGGGGAAGGGGTGACCCCTGTTCCGGGGGGTGATGGGGAAGGGGTGACCCCTGTTCTGGCGGGTGACGGGGAAGGGGTGACCCCTGTTCCGGGGGGTGACGGAAAGGGGTGACCCCTGTTCCGGGGGGTGACGGGGAAGGGGTGACCCCTGTTTCGGGGGGTGACGGGGAAGGGGTGACCCCTGTTCCGGGGGGTGACGGGGAAGGGGTGACCCCTGTTCCGATGGGTGACGGGGAAGGGGTGACCCCTGTTCCGGGGGGTGACGGGGAAGGGGTGCCCCTGTTCTGGGGGGTGACGGGGAAGGGGTGACCCCTGTTCCGGGGGGTGACGGGGAAGGGGTGACCCCTGTTCTGGGGGGTGACGGGGAAGGGGTGACCCCTGTTCCGGGGGGTGACGGGGAAGGGGTGACCCCTATTCCGGGGGGTGACGGGGAAAGCGCTCCCCGGGCTGGGGGTGCGGTGCTGGGACTGTGTAGCCGGTCTGGCTCCAGGGCGGACGGGAGGGCGGCTGCAGCCCCAGACCCACGCGCGGCCCCACACCCCGTCCCGGGCCGGCCCCGCTCGGTACCTGCTGGGGGGCACAGCGGGGCCCCCGTCCCGTCGGAGCTGTCCCGCTGCCGCTGCTTCCAGAGCCGTTCCTGCTCCGCTGCCACCTCCTCCTCTTCCTCCTCCTCCTCCTCCTCCCGAGGAAGGGCAGCGGGCGGGGCCGGGCGGCCGCGGCAGGTCCGTGGGGAGCCCCAGCCCGGCCCCCTGCACCCCCCTCAGCCCACACACGGCCCCGGAGCCCCCATGGGACCCCCACAGCCACAGCCCACCCAGAGGCACACACGGAGCGGAGTGTGCAGGAACAGGGCATGGAGAACCCCTGCCCTGGAGCCAGGCTGGGAGAGCTGGGGGGGCTCCCCTGGAGAGGAGAAGCTCCAGGGAGAGCTCAGAGCCCCTGGCAGGGCCTGAAGGGGCTCCAGGAGAGCTGGAGAGGGACTGGGGACAAGGCCTGGAGGGACAGGACACAGGGAATGGCTCCCACTGCCAGAGGGCAGGGATGGATGGGAGATTGGGCAGGAATTGTTCCCTGGCAGGGTGGGCAGGCCCTGGCACAGGGTGCCCACCCTGGATCCCTGGCAGTGCCCAAGGCCAGGCTGGACAGGGCTTGGAGCAGCCTGGGACAGTGGGAGGTGTCCCTGCCATGGCAGGGGTGGCACTGGGTGGCTCTGAGTTCCCTCACAGCCCAAACCATCCCATGGGCTATGGGATAACCCCCAACAGCCGCCCGCCCACAGCCCCGGGCACTCGGCACATCCCTGCACACACGGGGGGCACACGCAGCACGGACACCCAGGGACACAAACACGGGATCACATACGTGTCAGCTATGGACACACACACACACACACACACACGCACACACACACACACACACACACACACTCTCACACTCACATATTCACACACACACTCTCAGTGTCACACACACACACACACACACACTCTCCCTCACACACATACTCACACTGTCACTGCCACTCACACACTCTATCACTGTCACATTCACTCACACACTGAGACTCACACTCACACACTCACTCTCACTGTCGCACACACACTCACGGTCTCACACTCACACACTGTCACACACACAAACTATTTCTCACTCTCACTCAGACACACTCAGACACATTCACACTGTCACACACACTCACACACTCATACACACACACTCACTGTCACACACTGTCACTCTCACATACACTCTGTCACTCACAATCACTCTCACACTCACACTCACACACTGTCACACTGTCACTCTCACACAATCACACACTCAGGCACACAGTCAGACATTCACACTCTCACACACTGACACTTACACTCACTCACTCTCACACACTGTCACACACTCACTCTCACTGTCACACAGTCACTCACACTCACTCTCACACACTGACACTCACACAATGACACTCTCACTCTCACACACTCACCCTCACTCTCACTCTCTACACACTCACTCTCACTCTCTCACACTCACTCACACACTTACATGCACACTCATATGCACTCTCACACTCACACACACTCACACTCACTCTCTCTCTCAATCTCACTCTTGCACTCACACTCACACTCACTCACACACTCACTCTCACACTCACTCACACTCACACTCACACACACCCACTGTCTGTCTGTCTGTCTGTCTCTCTCCCCCTCCCTCTCCCTCGCAGTCCCCGCCCCCGCCGCGCGCGGGCCGCTCCCATTGGCTGTCCGGCGGGGGGCGGTGCCGCGCACGGACCAATCGCGTGTCCGCAGCGCTGCCCGCGCTCCGCTCCGCGCGCGGGGCCGCCATAGCCGCTGAGGGCGGGGCCGCCATGTCCGATGAGGGCGGGGCCGCCATGTCCGCTGAGGGCGGGGCCGCCATGTCCGCTGAGGGCGGGGCCGCCGTGTCCGCTGAGGGCGGGGCCGCCATGGCCGCTGAGGGCGGGGCCGCCACGGCCGCTGAGGGCGGGGCCGCCATGGCCGCTGAGGGCGGGGCCGCCATGTCCGCTGAGGGCGGGGCCGCCGTGTCCGCTGAGGGCGGGGCCGCCACGGCCGCTGAGGGCGGGGCCGCCATGGCCGCTGAGGGCGGGGCCGCCATGGCCGCTGAGGGCGGGGCCGCCATGTCCGCTGAGGGCGGGGCCGCCATGGCCGCTGAGGGCGGGGCCGCCATGGCCGCTGAGGGCGGGGCCGCCATGGCCGCTGAGGGCGGGGCCGCCGTGGCCGCTGAGGGCGGGGCCGCCATGTCCGCTGAGGGCTCCCGCCCCCCCCCGCCCTCAGGGCGTCCCTCAGCCCGGGCACCCCAAACCTGCTCCAGCCCCGCTCTGCCTCCCGCACCCCGCAGCGGAGCCCACCCCCCGTCCCGGGGTCGCCAGCCGCGGTTGGTTTTTTTTTTTTTTCTCCTTCTTCTTTTTAAAGTGCCGTTTGTACGTATTGACCTTACAAAAGCAGGTTAAAACCTCGGGCCCAGCGCCGCCCTCTTGTGAGGCTGCCCCGGCCTGGCCTAGGCCCTTCTAGTGTTCATTGTGCAGGTGAGAGGTGACAGGTGACCCTGCACCGGTGACACCGCACCTGGGACAGCCTTCATCGGCCCGGCGGGGTCGGGACACCAGAGCCCAGGGCGGGGACACGGGGTCAGGGGGGGAATGTGAGTCCAGTGCGAGGGGACGGGGTCACCCCCTCCCCAGAGTCCGGTGCCTCCAGTGCAGGGCACCCTCCGGACTCGGAGTGTGGTGCTGCGGTGGCCCAGGGCATGGTGGCCGAGGACACAGGCCTGAGGACACAGGCCTGAGGACACAGCCCTGAGGACACAGCCCCGAGGACACAGCCTCGAGGACACAGCCCCGCTCAGTTGACGTTGAAGGCGCCGCTCTGGCTCTCTCCCTCACTGCCGTTGCTTTCAGGGGTCCTTGTGCTGCTCAGCCCCTGCAGGCTGACAGCACCTGGAGGAAGAGGAGGAAGGGACAGGTCAGGAGAGATGGCAGCGTGCGGTGACCCACCCTCATGTGCTGGCCTGGTCGTCCTGGACTCTTCTGATGGCCCCAAGCAGCACAAGGGGTCTGTCCTGTTCCCCCAACCCACAGCGAGGCACTGGCACCCCGAGAGGCAGAGCAGACACCGAGCAGGACTGCTGGCTACTCAGCCTGTCAAAGGTCACCCCATAGTCCCCCACATTTGCTGCCACCCCTTGGAGCCCCAGGGCCAGCGTGGCCATAACCAGGCCAGGGGGGTGCTGCCCCCCAGAAGGGCACAGCAAGCAAACATAGCCCCTCTCTGCAGGCAGCAGGGAAGTGAGACAGTGACCCTGTCCTGTGTCCTGCTGTGAGGATTCCCCTGCAAGCATGGCCACAAGCCAGCCCAGTAACGACAGTGATCCCACTGCTGCCCCACTGGGGCCATCTGCAAAGACACTGTGGCTTCTTTAGCCCAGGCTAGCACTGACCACAGGGCTCCCAGTGCCCCCACCCAGCCCCACACACCTTGGGCTGCCCCCAAGCCCTCAGCCCCACTCACGGTAGTGGATCCGGATGGGCCACACCATGATGGAGCACAGTGTGGTGACAGCGGTGACAGCAATGCCACCAGTGACCAGCACCATGACCCAGCGGTAGAAGTCGACACAGGCGGGGCAGCACAGCTCAGTCCTGTGAGGACAGGCAGGGATGTGGCTGGAGGCCACGATTGGGGTCCCAGGCTATGGGCAATGGTCCCACATCCTCACTCAGACTCAGGGCTGGTTTCCACTGGGACGTGAGGGGAAGGCCCAGGGCAAGGATATCCCCAGGGTATGGCTTGGGCCCTCGTCCAAGGCCAGGAGAGAAGGTGAAGAAGGGTTTAAGGCAAATTAGAGCTGGACAAAAGAAGCCTCCAGGGAGACCTCAGAGACCCTTCCAGTGCCTAAAGGGACTCCAGGAGAGTTGGAGAGGGACTTGGGACAAGAGATGGGGGGCAGGACAAGGAGGAATAGCTGCTTACTACCACAGGGCAGGGTTAGATGGGATATTGGGAAAGAATTATTCCCTTTGAGGGCGAGGAGGCCCTGGCACAGGGTGCCCAAAGCAGCTGTGGCTGCCCCATCCCTGGAAGTCTTCTAGCCCAGGTTGGACAGGGCTTGGAGCAACCTGGTGTAGTGGAGAGTGTCCCTGCCCATGGCAGGAGGTGGAAGGAGATGAGCTTTAAGGTCCTTTCCAATCCAAACCATTGTGGGAGCCTACAAATCCAAGCTGGTTCCCTCCCATGTCTCTTGCTCCAAGCCTGGAATATTCCCTCATGGCCCCCAAGCGATGGGGGTCCCAGCTCTGCAGAGACACTTACGGGCAGGGGTGCAGGTTCTGAATCAGCATCACAGCCAGGCCATTGGCCATCTTGTCCGTGAAGCTCATGGCACCGTACACAAACGCGCTGCTGTGCTGTGGGAGGAGAGGGAAGCGGGCTGAGCCGCGCTGTGCCGTGCTAAGAGGCGCTGTGCCGTGCCGTGTGCCCTCTCATGGGCAGAGCCCTCACTGCAGCACAGCAGCAGAACACGGGCACAGCACTCACGGGGCACAGCACACGGGGCCCAGCAGAGCCTCCTCCCAGCGTCTCCACCCCTAACCCTGAGCAGTGCCCACTCCAGACCGCGGCTGCTGTGCCTGCCATGACCCCCACTCCATCCCAGCAGGAGCAGTGGCCGTACCGTGTTGGTGCCGATGAGATCTGCAGTCATAGACAGGGAAGTGACCAGGATGGTGGCTGAGCCGGCCCCGAGCAGCACCGCCAGCCCGTAGATCTCATCTCCTATTGGCCTGACCAAGGCTACCCAGGAGGCAAAGGCCAGGACCATCAGGATGCCCACAAAGTAAGTCAGCTGTGATGGGGACCGGCAGAGGGAGAAGGGGAAGTTCAAACATCAGCTGGCACTTGGTGAGGGAGGAGCAAGCAGGGAGGGCATTGCCCAGGACCCATGAGGAACAGCCCTGGCTCTGTCCCAGCTGTGTTTAAACAAGGAGACCCCAAAAGCAGGTCCTTGCCATGCTCCAGGCTGTTCTGCAGCCCAAGGGTTGAGCCAGAGTTGTGGAAGTGTGTCTGTGAGGGCAGGGGACACTCCGCTGGCGCCCAACAGCATGGAGGGGACACACTAGGGAAGCAGGTCCCTCCTGCTGGCATTGCAGACTGTGTGCCCATCCTGGCCGGTGTAACCAGACCCCCGCTCTGTCCCTGATGGGCACCACAGGGCTCTGCAGTCCAGTCAGACACGCATGGACATGGTAACTCTGGGCCAGCATTGCCTTCCCCCACCTGAGGGATGGACAAGACAGGCCCCTGCCACCATTCCTGCCCACCACCCCCAATCCCAGTAGGACCCAGATCCCATCCCTGCCCACCACACCCAGTCCCAGCAGGACTTATGCTGCAGTGGGTGGTTGCTGACAGAGGGTCCATGAGGGGTCTCTGCTCCCCAGCTCAGGTGTGCCAGGAGCTTTGCTCACAGCCAGGATTAGGCCCCTGGTGCTCTCCTGGGGTCAAACTCCAACCTCTCCAGCACCCTGGACTCACATTCCGACCAATCCATTTGTTCACAGGTTTCATGAGGAACGAGGAGAGGAACCCACTGACGTACATCACCAGGGGAATGGTGGCAATGTACTTCTGCAAGGGACAAGGACAGGGAGATGAGCCCCAGGCCACACCAGGACACCTTCTCATGCAGCCCTGGACCTGCCTTGACCCACCTTGGAGAGCAGCAGTGAGTTGGTCAGGTACATGGCGATGTAGGTCTGGGACAGGTTGACGATGAGGCGGGTAGCCATGTAGAGCACCGCGACCTGGGAGGGGACAGGGCCAGGGCTCAGCCTGTGGGAAGGACCTGCCCTGCCCAGCTGTCCTGGCACAGGTGCCCAGCAGCAAGAGGATGGCCCCTCTGAGGGGGTGGATGGGTGCCCAGAACAGCTCCCCTCTCCATCCCCACCCGCTCCCAGGCAAGCCCCGTGGCAGCAGCCCAGGCCAGGGCAGCCCTGCCCAGCCATACCTGGTAGAAGGAGGGCTCCAGCAGCCAGTCCTTCCAGAGCAGCAGTGGGCGTGGGGGGCCTGAGGGCTCCTTGTGCAGCAGCGGGGTGCTCTCCTCTGACTCGGGTAGCCCCCCTGGTGGGTACGGCTTCTCCGTGGTGCCCAGGTGGAAGATGAGGGAGAACACGGCCCCCAGCCCCACCACAATGAGGGCCAAGTTCTGGTGAGGCAGTGGGGGTGAGCACAGCAGTGGGAGCAGCCCACCATCAGCCCCCCAGCAGTCTGGAGGGTAAGGAGGCATGTCCAAACCCCACGGAGGGCTCAGCGTGGCTCTGGCCCACTTGGTGAGGTTTTATGGCACTGTCCCCTGACTCCCTCCAGTACCTCCCCAGCTGAGCCATGGGAAGAGGGAACCCCAGGGACTGTGCCTTGCCACTCACCCGAAACACAGGTATGTCCTGTGGGCCCAGGTGCTCCATGTGGTCGGGCTGGTCCGTCTGGAAGTTCAGCAGGAGCCAGGTCAGGCCGTACACAGTGATGTTGGCCATGACAGTGAAGGCATACCTGAGCAGAAGGAAACCTTGGGGTGATGCAGAGGGATAGGCATGGGGACAGCACAGCAGGACACCGCTGCTCACAGCTGCCCTCTGAGCCAGATGTGCTACAGCCTCTGCACCCCAGTGTCATGGCTGAGGTGACACCTCTGAGGGCACAAGGCACCTGGCCAGGCCTCAGCCTTAATGCTGCAATTCCCAGTGTGCCCAGCCCAAGCCTCGGGGCACGACTGGAGGAAACCAAGCTCCCTACAGGTCAGTCTGTTCCCCCTCCAGGCACAGCTCACCTCTGCTTCAAGGATGCCAGGAGCTGCCTGACCCAGAACCCCAGAATGGGACCACTTGGACCCACAGTTACCCCACATCCTCCCCGCTCACTCTGCTCCATGGAATAAACATCCCATCCCACATCCCAGTCCTGACAGAGATGAGCCAAGTGCACTGCCCACCTGGCCCTGGAGACATCTCACCTCCAGAACAGTACCCAGAGCTGTGTCCAGCTCTCCTTGAGGGCATCTGGGAGGGACACCCTAAATGCCACCGTCCATTCCCAAAGGAGAAGTGTCCCCAGCTCAGGGAAGTGTCCCACGGGCTGTGTCACTGACATCCCTGCCATCAAGACATTCCCTCCTGGCACCAAAGGCTTTGGGTCACTAACCCAGGACCAGAGTCCTTTGGCAAATCCCACAGGACACCCACGTGGCCCAGTCCTTGTCCTGCCATGCCAAGAGTGTCTGGTGTGTCACAGCACCCAGGGTCCTCCTGTCACACAGTGATGGGACCCAGGGCAGCTCCCCCAGGCCCAGGTGACCTCCAGGTGTGGCTGTGCTCACCTGAAAGCCGTGAGCTCCACTTTCCCATGGTCACTGCTCACCAGCTCAGGGATGAGAGCCAGGTGGGACACCTGTGTGGCTGCCCACCCAAACTGGAAGATGATGATGAAGGGGAGGTAGTAGATGAAGGCTGCCCATTGTGGAGTGCTGTCTCTGCAGGCCAGGCAGGGGCTGAAGACAAAGGGGAAGGACACGAGGACACAGGTGGTGCCTGGGGAGAGAGTGGAGCAGTGAGAGGCTGCACACTTGGCTGGGACTCCAATGTGACACACGCAGCCCTCTCCAGGACAGGTTCTACCCCAGAGCTGGGGAGGAAGGGAGGGAGGCTCCTTCCCCAGACAGATGAGACACGTGGAGCTCCAGACACCCCCTCAGCCCATCCTGCACAGGGAATGTGGCACCCAGCCCAGACAGACACCCCCCAATCAAGGTCGTTCCCCAGCACAGCACTAGCACTGCTCTGTCCCCTCAAGACACCATGACAGACCCTCAGTGTCACACCCACAGACACCAGGAGGTTCTGGCTGTCCCCAGGTGCAGATATCCAGTCAGATAACCCCTCCCTGCTGCCTGCCCGTGATATATGGCACCCCTAGGCTGGGAGGGCTCTGCCTGTCTCCATGTCCCCTCTCCCATGGGGCTGGCAGAGTGGGGTTGGCAGGGAGAGCTGTGCTTCCACCACACTCACAGACATCACCCACAGCATGACAGGGTGACACAGAGCCACGGGGGCTCCGGGAAGGGCCCACTGAGTCAGGGACACCAGAGCCAGGCTCCTCGCTTTGCTGTGGTGAGACAGCCACAGGGACGCAGCCTGGGGACGCTGCACATAGGGGCCCTGCGTGGGGCACACAGGCCAGCTTGGCCTCGCCCTCCCCGTTCCCAAAGTTACAGAATCTATCTGCCAAGCGGCTCCACAGACCCCCAGGCCCCAATGCAGAGCCTGGTGTCCTGTCCCACATGTCCCCCTGTACTGTCCTACATGTCCTCAGCTTCACTGTGTGCTGATGAAGAGCTGTTCCTACAGCTGAGGGGAACCTGCTTTGCCAGGTCCCCAAGGTACCCTCTCCACTTTGCAAGAACCTCTCTTCCTCATGAGTGATTCCTCTTCCTCCCACCCATGAAGGGGAATTCCTCCTCCTCCTTGCTCCTACACAGCACAGCCATGCAGGCCAGGGCAAAGCCAAGGGGAGCAGTGACAATCCCAGCCCAGCCCCATCCATCCCACCAAGGGGTGCTGGGTCCCCACACTGGCTCACAGTGCTCAGCTTTGGTGCTCCAGAACCTCTGGAGGACAGGGGACTCAGGCACATGTGGTGCTGTGCCCCAAACAAACCACAGGCATGAGGGCTCAAACCAGCCCAGATCCTCTCTGTTCCCTGGGGTTTAGCTGGGCCCAGATGAGGGGTGAGGGTCTCAGGGCCCCACAGGGTCAGGCTCTGCAACCCTGTTGGGCTGTGAGGGTTCCCAGGGGAGCGCTGGGGCAGGAGCTGTGGGACCCGGCTGCTGCAGCCTCCAGGGCTGCTCCTGTGCCCACCCTGGAGCCATCACCACCTGCACAACCACAGGAGTGCCACCTCCTCCTCGTGGCACCTCAGGACAGGCAGTGTCCACCACCAGGGTCACCCCACTGGCCACCCCAAGGAGCTGTGCCCGTCTGGCACAGGGCTGCACCCCAATAGCCACGTACCCCAAGTGCCCAGGAGTGGCTGCACTGGGTCAGAGGGGCCTGGGGACGCCCTGCTCTCCCATGCAGGGCCAAAGGAGCGCAGCCAAGACCATTCTGCCCTGCCTGCAGCACCCCATGGCACCAAAGGCCCAGCTCCTCATCTCTGGCCCTGCGGGGCAGTCATGAGAACACCCAGCTGCTCAGCACAGGCGCCCGGGGCAGGTATTCTGGAACAGCACTGCCAGACAGGCTGAGACAGGCAGCAAAGAGCCGCTCACCCTTCCTCCCCCCTGCTTCAGGAAGCCGGATCCCATGAAAGAGCTGGCAAGCAGGCAGGGCCAGCCGGGACCGCCTGTGGGGAGCCCCGGGGCGGTGGGAAGATGCCATGATAGCAACTCGTGGTGTCTCCCCCGCCCCGAGGCTGCGGTTCCACAGCGTTTCCTCTGATCTGAGCACGGGTTTGCCACCGGACGAGACACCCCGCTCCCACACAACAACACCCCTCGCTGCAGCGTGATCGAGGGAGCCCAGTGGCCCCGGCGCAGCCGGATCCGGTGGGTTTGTCACCACCGCTGTGTGGTGGTGGCAAACCCACTGACTCTGTGGTCAGCCAAGGTGGGCGCCGGGGAATCCCCCAGCCTTGGGAATAAAGAGAACAGGCCTGGAAAACAGCCTGGTGCCTGCTGCAGCCTGCCCCGGGCTGTGCTCTGCTCCCTGCAAAGCCTGAGTTAGCATTTCTCCTCTGCTCGCCGGGCAGCACCCGGCTGGAGCAGGGGGAGGAAACAGCTCCGGCCACTTCCCCAAATCCAGGGTGCCGATGTGGCTGAGGCTGGGGCAGGGTGAAGCTGCCTCGCCAGCACTCTCCCTGACTCACCAAGCCAAGCTCCAGCGAGGTCAGACGCCTTATCAGGCTGCCGTTGGGTTGCACAAAGCATTGGTCGAGATAAATTTGGGATCAAGATAAGAGGAGCCACACGGCAACCGTCCTCCCTCCCCACGGGTGTGCTCTGGGCGAGGCAGTGCCCGATGTTACCGAGGGCTGTTATCAATGGCCCCATCCCCAGTGCCAGCTAAGCAGGATGTGCAGCCCCTGCACCAGTCACGCCACCAAGGACCCCTCTTCAGGCCATACTGTCCCCTCAGAGAGGGACCTCGACAGATGGGTCCCCACCAGCCCCTGCACTCCATTGCATTTGTTGACCTAGGGCAGAATGCAAGACAAACCTGTCAGTAATTCCTGTGAGCCAGAGCCTCCTGTGCATCCCATGGCTGTACCCCACTGCTGGCCCCCAGGGTGCACAGCCCCACACCATAGGGTCCCCCGCCCCGGGGACACTGAGAGCTGCTCAGGAAGCACCTGGGCTTTTGGGAAAGCCCAGATTTTACTGATGGTTTTTACTTGGTTTTGCTGTATCTCCAAGCTCTGAGCACGTGGCTCTCACCTCAGCTCACTGCCACCCACACACACAAAGCCTGAGGGACAGTGGGGAGCCCCCAGACAGGACAGGGATACCATGGTGCACCTTCCCCATCCAGGCTCAGCATCCCACTGTCCCCTAGACATGCAGCAACTCTGTCACCACCTTGCTGCTGCTGGGGATCCCAGAAAGGCACCTCCCCAGGCTATCCCCTCCTCACAAGGCACCCCAGACCCATATCCTGTCACCCAGGGCACATACCAGAGCCCCTTCACCTTCCATAGGGGCAGAGCCCCAAGAGCCCCCAGGGCTTCTGCTCACCCCTGGGGCTGCCCCTCTCCGGCTGGGGGGACCCTATCCCCACCTCACTGCCACATGGTGGTCCCCCTCCCCAGAAAGGCTCCCACACCTTCAGGGAGACCTCCATGCCACAAGGCACCCTGGTTCCTCCTGCTCCAGGGAACCCCCAAGGCTGATCCCCCAACCCAGAAAGGCACCCTTGGACTTGTTCCCCTCTTCCAGGGCACCCCAGAAAGGCACCCTGGGACTGATCCTGTATCCCAGAGGGGCTCCTTCACGTCCCCACAGAGTCCCCAGCAGAGTGTCCCCCATCCATGTCCCCCCAGCAGAGCTGCTTGGGGCCAACCCCTCCACCCAGCATCCCCACTGTCCCCCACCCCGGGCATCCTAGAAAGGTTCCTCCATGGTCATCCCTTCTTAGGGCATCCCAGAAAGGTTCCCCTGGGTAGTCCCCACTCAGGGCACCTCAGAAATGCTGCCTGTGGCCACACGTCTCCCTTCTGGGCACCCCAGGAGGGTGTCTCCCAGCCCCAGCATCCCCGAAAATCTCCCCCAGGGTCACCCATTTTCACATGTCACCTTAGACAGGCACCCTCGGTCACTCCCTGGTGTCCTGAGGACACCCTAGAAAGGTGCCCCCAGAGCCATCCTCTCCACTTAGAGCGTCCCAAAAAGGCTCCCCCAGGTGTCCCCAACCCAGAGCACCCCAGAAGGTCTCCCTCACAACCATACTCCTCCCCTCCCGTCAGCAAAGTCCCTCAGGGTTACCTGTCTCTTATCTTTGGCACCCCAGCAGTGTGTCCCACCCAAGGCACCCCAGAAAGGCTCCCTATGGCCATCCATTTCCATCCTGGCCAGCGCAGAAAGGCCACCTGGGGCCACCCATTTTCACCCGAGACACCAACAAAGTAGGGCCAACCCTCTCCACTTAGAGCATCCTAGAAGGGCTCTGGATGTCCCCCAACACAGACACCCCAGCAAGTCTCCACTTAGAGCATCCTAGAAGGGCTCTGGATGTCCCCCAACACAGACACCCCAGCAAGTCTCCCCCGGGGCCATCCTCTTCACTTAGAGCATCCCAGAAAGGCTCTGCAACATCCACACGGAAAGCTCTACTTACAGCACCGCAGTAAATCTCCCCCCTCGGATGTCGCCCACTCAGGACACCCCAGAAATGCTCTCCCGGGGTCACCTCTCTCCACCCGCCTCCCCTCATCACAGCTCCCGGTGCCCGCACCCACCGGCCAGGTGCCAGCCCTTCCTGCGCCCGCAGCGGCCGCAGCCGTGGGCCCGGTCGGCCTCGAAGCCGAGCAGCGGCGTGCAGAGCCCGTCGGCCGCCTGGCCGGCCAGGAGCAGCCCGCCGGCCGCGCCGTGCCCGTAGCCCAGCACGGCGTGCAGGAAGGGCAGCAGGTAGGTGAACCACAGCGCCGAGCACGCGTCGTTCAGGAAGTGCCCGCACGCGAAGCTCAGCCGCGCCCGCAGCGGCAGCGCCGGGCCCGGGACCGGCGGAGACCGCGGCGGATCGGCCATGGCCCGGCCTGAGCCCGCGGGGACAGCGGCGGGAGGGACCGCCAGCGATGGGAGGGAACGGGGAGGGACGCGGAGGGAGGAGATGGCGGGGACAGGGAGGGACCGGCCGGTCCGCCGATCCCCGCATCCCCCGGGGGTCCGTCCTGGGCGGGGCGGCCCCGGGCGGCGGGGGGCGGGACGGGAGCGCCCGGTTACACCGGGGGTGTCCGCACAACCGGTGACTACACCGGGGGTGTCCGCACAGCCGGTGAGTGACCGGCTACACCGGGGTGTCCGTACAGCCGGTGAGTGCCCAGTTACACCGGGGTGTCCGTACAGCCGGTGAGTGCCCAGTTACACCGGGGGTGTCCGTACAGCCGGTGAGTGACCGGCTACACCGGGGGTGTCCGTACAGTGGGTGAGTGACCGGCTACACCAGTTACACCGGGAGTGTCCGCACAGCCGGTGAGTGCCCGGTTACACCGGGGGTGTCCGCACAGTGAGTGAGTGCCCAGTTACACCGGGGGTGTCCGCACAGCCAGTGAGTGACCGGCTACACCGGGAGTGTCCGTACAGCCGGTGAGTGACCGGCTACACCGGGGGTGTCCGTACAGCCGGTGAGTGCCCAGTTACACCAGTTACACCAGTTACACCAGTTACACCGGGAGTGTCCATACAGCCGGTGAGTGCCCAGTTACACCGGGGGTGTCCGTACAGCTGGTGAGTGCCCAGTTACACCAGTTACACCAGTTACACCAGTTACACCGGGGGTGTCCGCACGGTCGGTGAGTGACCGGTTACACCGGGGTGTCCGTACAGCCGGTGAGTGAGCGGCTACACCGGGGTGTCCGCATAGCCGGTGAGTGCCCAGTTACACCAGTTACACCGGGGTGTCCGCACAGCCGGTGAGTGCCCAGTTACACCAGTTACACCGGGGGTGAGTGCCCAGTTACACCAGTTACACCGGGGTGTCCATACAGCCGGTGAATGCCCAGTTACACCAGTTACACCGGGGTTGTCCGCACAGCCGGTGAGTGCCCAGTTACACCAGGGATGCCCGCACAGTGGGTGAGTGCCCAGTTACACCAGGGATGCCCGCACAGCCGGTGAGTGCCCAGTTACACCAGTGCCATCCCCGCTCCGATCCCATGGCACTCCACTGCTGTCCCCACACTGCTCCCAGACACATCACAGCTACCCCACGCCGTTCCCAGGCACACCAGTAGAGGCCCTGTATCGCTCCCAGTCACACCAGTACCATGGCACTGCTCCCAGTCACACCATTGTTGCCCCCATACTGCTCCCAGTCACACCAGTATCACCCCAATGCTGTCCCCTTACTGCTCCCAGTCACACCAGTAATGTCCCCATGCTGCTCCCAGTTGCACCAGTGTTACTCTCTCACTGCTCCCAGTCACATCAGCGCTGTCCCCACAGTGCTCCCAGTCACACCAGTACCGGCCCTGTACTGCTCCCAGTCACACCAGTGCTGTTCCCAGTGATCCCCGCAGAGCCCAGCACCCTCACAGAGCTCCCAGTCACACCAGTGCTGTTCCCAGTGATCCCAGCATTACTCCCACACTCCCAGTCACTCCTGCCCTGCCCACAGCAGCCCAGAGCCCAGCACCCTCACAGAGCTCCCAGTCACACCAGTGCTGCCTGTAACAGTCCCATTACCCACGAGGGCATGTCCCAGTCACTCCAGTACCTCCACACTGCTCCCAGTGACCTCAGTGCCCACCTTAAGCAAGGGGATGGTCCCCATGCTGCCAGTAGGCACCCCAGAATTCCAGTGACACCAGCACATCCTCACTGCTCCAGCAACCCTGGTATCCAAGTGAGGGGTCCCCATGATGCCTGCAGTTGCCTGAGTTCCAGTTATCCCAGTCCACCATCACACTGCTCCCAGTCACCCCAATACTCCAGTATGCACCTTGTGGGGGTGTCAGACTACAGGAGTGAGGGTACAAGGATTGTGGGCACTGGAACCAGTCAGCTGGAAGTCACTGGGACGCTGGGATGACTACAGATGTCATAGGGACCCTCTGCTTGGATGGGCACTGGGGTTAGTAGGAGTCATGTGGGGGTACTGGGGTGACTGGGACCTTCTGGGTAATGATGTGCCCGGGGCCATTATGGGCCCCACTGGGGTTGCTGGGGACAGTGTGGGGTCACTGGGACTCTGGGGTGGTTACTGGAGTCATGGGACGCCCCTGTTGGGTGAATACTGGTGTGACTGAGAGTAGTGTGGGCTTACTTGGGCAGCTGGGAGCTCCTGTTGAGTAGGTACTGTTGTCACTGGGACCAGTATGAGCAGTACTGGGGCACTGAGACCCTCTAGAGAGGAGTATTAGGGCCACTGGGACTCTGTGGTGACTACAGACATCATAGGGATCCCCAGCTGTGTGAATAATGGAGACACTGGGAGCAGACTGGAGGTCGTGGGGGACCTCCCATTGTGTATTTAATGGGGTCACTGGAACTAGTATGGGCTGTACTGGGGTGACAGGAAGCAGTGTTGGGGCAGTACTGGGATCACTGGGACTCTAGGATAAGTACCGGTGTCATGGGTACCCCCTGCTGGGTGGGTACTGGGATTGAGGGAGCGGTGGAGCAGGGTAGCTGAACCAGTGGCTCAGCCCCGCGGTGGGCACTGGTTACTGGGAGCGATGGGAAGACACTGGAGCCACCGGAATGGGACGCCGCCATGGCGTTGCCCCTTTAAAGCGCTGCCCTCAGAGGGCCACAGGAGCGTCCCCACCTGTTTGTCGTTGCCCCTTTAAGGCGCTGCCCTGTCCACAACACTTCCTCGTCCCCACTCTGGCTGCTGATTGGTCAGGCCTCCAGCAGCGCGCGCGCGCCGCGCCCGCCAGCCCCGATTCCCCTTCCGCCGCTTCCCTCTGACGTCATCGCATCCAGCCAACCCGCGTCTGGCTGCGCTCGGCGAGTCGGCGCCGAGCGGCCAATCGGCGGCGGTGCGGCGGGAGCCTCATTTGCATAATAATAGAGGGGCGTGGTCAGGTGAGCCGCGGCGGCGGCGGGTCCGGACGGTGGGACCCGTGAGGGGGGGCCGGGGGGAGCGTGTGGGGAGTCCTGTGGGGAGTCCTGTGGGGAGTCCTGTGGGGAGAGAGTGTGGGGAATCCTGTGGGGAGAGAGTGTGGGGAATCCTGTGGGGAGAGCGTGTGGGGAATCCTGTGGGGGGAGCGTGTGGGGAATCCTATGGGGGGAGTGTGTGGGGGGATCCTATGGGGGGAGCGTGTGGGGAATCCTGTGGGGGGAGCGTGTGGGGAATCCTATGGGGGGGGAGCGTGTGGGGAATCCTATGGGGGGAGCGTGTGGGGAATCCTGGGGGGAAGCGTGTGGGGGGAATCCTGTGGGGGGAATCCTGTGGGGGGGAGCGTGTGGGGAGTCCTGTGGGGAGTGCGTGTGGGGAGTCCTGTGGGGAGAGCGTGTGGGGAATCCTATGGGGGGAGCGTGTGGGGAATCGTGTGGGGAGAGAGTGTGGGGAATCCTGTGGGGGGAGCGTGTGGGGAATCCTGTGGGGGGAGCGTGTGGGGAGTCCTGTGTGGGGAGTCCTGTGGGGAGAGCGTGTGGGGAGTCCTATGGGGGGAGCGTGTGGGGAGTCCTATGGGGAGAGCGTGTGGGGAATCCTGTGGGGGTATCTTGGCGGGAGAGCCTGTGGGGAGAGCGTGTGGGGAATCCTGTGGGGAGAGAGTGTGGGGAATCCTATGGGGGGAGCGTGTGGGGGGATCCTGTGGGGGAGCGCGTGGGGAATCCTATGAGGAGAGCGTGTGGGGGGATCCTATGGGGGGAGCGTGTGGGGAGTCCTATGGGGGGAGAGTGTGAGGAATCCTATAGGGGGACCGTGTGGGGAATCCTGTGGGGAATCCTGTGGGGGGGAGCGTGTGGGGAATCCTGTGGGGGGGAGCGTGTGGGGAATCCTGTGGGGGGGAGCGTGTGGGGAATCCTATGGGGGGGAGCGTGTGGGGAATCCTGTGGGGGGAGCGTGTGGGGGATCCTATGGGGGGAGCGTGTGGGGGATCCTGTGGGGAATCCTGTGGGGAGAGCGTGTGGGGAATCCTGTGGGGGGAGCGTGTGGGGGATCCTATGGGGGGAGCGTGTGGGGAATCCTGTAAGGGGCTGGCTGGGGAGGAGATGCTGTTTGGGGAGGGGTCCTGTGATTTCCCCACGAGGGAGACACCTCCAAGGGGGGTTTCAGCAGGGGGACCCCGGTGGGCACCATAACTTGATGGCAGTGCCAACTGTGCTCTGTCCCCAGGGTGCTGACCAAGACCTCTGCCCATGGCCCACAGCACCAAGCAGCCGCCTGCCGCCCTGCTGTAAGTGCCACCACCTGCCACAACCTCCTTGGGCCACCCTGCTGTGCATCAGCACCTTTGGTGAAAGAGCAGCAGAAACTCACCCCCTTCCAAGGCTTGGGGGTGATCTGTGTGTGCTGAGGAAGGATTGTCTCACTCTGCTCTGCACTGGGGCAACCTCAGCTCCAGTGCTGGGGCACTTTGGGCACCACAAGAAGGACCCAAAGCTGCTGGAGAGTGTCCCAAGGAGGGACATGGAACTGGGGAAGGTCTGAGGAGCGGCTGAGGGCACTTGGCTGGTTCAGCTGGAGCACAGGAGATGAGGGGAGGCTCCTCGGGGGCTGCAGCTCCTCCCGAGGGGAGGCAGAGGGGCAGGGGCTGAGCTCTGCTCTGGGACAGCTCCTGGAGCCCAGCAAGGACTGGAGCTGTGCCAGGCCTTGGCATGGAGCTCAGGGAAAGGTTCTTCCCCCCGAGGGTGCTGGCACTGCCCAGGCTCCCCAGGGAATGGTCCCGGCCCCGAGGCTGCCAGAGCTGCAGGAGCGTTTGGACAGCGCTCTCAGGGCTGCTCGGGGTGGGGGTGTTGGGGGGTCTGGGCAGGGACGGGGGCTGGGCTGATGATCCCTGAGGGTCCCTTCCAGCTCAGGATATTCCAGGATTCTGTGATTCTAAGCATATTGGGAGATCTGAACCAGCAAGGGCTGAATTCCTCTGAGATTTGGGCTGTCCTGAGTTGTCCTTGGCCTTCCTGACTGGCAGATGGGGAAGTGCCTCAGAGGTGGAGGGATGTGGATGCCAGAACAAACTGGCTAAGGAGGAATCTTATCTGAGATTACTTTTCAAAGCATCCTTAGGCATTAGAGGAATCTGGATCACAAGGCAGGAGGGTGATCCTTCTGGTGCTGGAGGGTATTGTGGACATCACTGAGGACATTGCTCTTGGAGCTGATAAAGCCAAGGGCTGGCCATGACCCTGCACAACTCAGAGGGTTCTTTTTCCCCAGGAGCTGGGAGAAGAGGTGGTCTCACACCTTCCTGTAAGGCTTTTTGTGAATGTGGGGGTGTTGGCCCACATTCAGGGCACTGGTTGGCCTCTGATCCTGGTGGAAAGACTTGTCTCACTTTTTCTACAAGGACCACTGCAGTGTCAGGCTCTATGCTGGGGGCTTACAGAAGGGGCCCCCTAAGTTAACTGCAAGGATGGCTTGTCTGGATGATAAATGGAGAGCAGTAGCTCACAGTGCTGGGCTCTGCTTCAGTGCCACTGCTGTAGCCTCCCCTCATGGGAAGAAGGGCTCCATGGCCAGTGCAGGGTTTGGGGCTGTGTGACTCAGGGGGTGCGAGGTCACGCTGCTGGGGCACGTGTCATTGTTGGTCCCCGTGGTGTCCCAGCCCTCTCTGACAGTGCTCTGGTTGCAGACATGCCACGGGCAAGGCTCAGCATGGGAACTTCCTGGTGGCCATCAAACAGGAGAAGGGAGAGTCGGCGCGGGTGGGCGGCGAGAAGCCGGAGGAGGAGGTGAGTCCCAGAGCCTGTGTCCCTTCTCACACCATCCCTGGGACTGGGGCTCAAGGTGCCCGGCCTGGGGCTGCCCCTGCCCCTCCCCTTGCCCTGCAGCAGCCCAAAAAATGAGTCTGTGGCTGTTGCCATGGGCCAGGGAGGGGCTCAGACTTTGCCTTGAGGGCTGTGTGGCCCAGGTGGGCCTAGGGGCTGCTCCTGTGTCCCACGGATGCAATGGCTCTGATCCCTGATGGGCTGTCCCTTCCCCATGGGTGCCAGCCGGTGAAGAAGAGGGGCTGGCCCAAGGGCAAGAAGAGAAAGAAGATCCTTCCCAATGGCCCCAAAGCCCCCGTGACGGGCTATGTGCGCTTCCTGAACGAGCGGCGCGAGCAGATTCGCACACAGCATCCCGACCTGCCCTTCCCAGAGATCACAAAGATGCTGGGAGCAGAGTGGAGCAAACTGCAGCTCTCAGAGAAGCAGGTACTAGCCCCCAGTGGGGACCCCCCAGGGCTGGGCAGCTCCAGAGCCTGCTCCCCAAATCCCTGAGCTTGCTCCAAGAAAGGTGCTGGGCCCAGTACTGGGGAGTGGGAGTTGGGCAGGGAGAGGTCAGCAGCTCCCGGCAGGCTGGGTTGGGTCAGGCTGAGGCCCCTCTGTGACCCACCACAGCGGTACCTGGACGAGGCGGAGCGGGAGAAGCAGCAGTACATGAAGGAGCTGAGGGAGTACCAGCAGTCAGAGGCCTACAAAATGTGCACGGAGAAGATCCAGGAGAAAAAGATCAAAAAAGGTGGGTTATGGGAGCAATGGCTTCAGAATCCAGCCAGGTGCTGCCAGAGCCTTTTGGGGACACGAGGCTGGGCCCTGGGGTGACCTCCTTCCTCCCCTGCAGAGGACGGTGCGGTGGCTGTGAACACCCTACTCAACGGGCACCCGCACAAGGTAAGGCCCTCTCTGGTCTACCTGTGTGTGGGGAAACTGAGGCACTTGTTCTGCTGGGCTGGCTGCAGGTGTGGGTGGGCAGAGGGAGTTCTGAGGCTGTGAGTCCCTGGTTCCTGGAGGGGTGGGAGGCAGAGCATAGCCATCCTCTGTCCCCACTTGCCAGACAGGGCCAGCCCTCACCCTGTCCCAATGCCCTCATCAGCCCGACCCCAAGGTGTTGGGGTCCTCTCTGGTGGGCTCAGCCCTGCCCAACCCGTCCCTCTTGTCTCAGGCTGGTGAGTGCAGCGACACCTTCTCCACCTTCGATGTGCCCATCTTCACCGAGGAGTTCTTGGACCAAAACAAGGGTAGGGGCTGTGGCAGATCCTTGGGAAGCCTCTGTGGAGGGACAAGGTCCTGGCTGGAGCCTGGGCATTGGTGACACAGAGCTGCTTGGAAGAGCTGTGTGTGGGCCTGGCTTTGGGTTTGGGATGAGGGGGTTGTCCAGGGTCTGTCCCCACGGACACGGTGCTGTCCTGCAGCCCGGGAGGCCGAGCTGCGGCGCCTGCGCAAGATGAACACGGAGTTCGAGGAGCAGAATGCCATCCTGCAAAAGCACACGGAGAGCATGAACTGCGCCAAGGAGAAGCTGGAGCAGGAGCTGGTGCAGGAGGAGCGGCAGACCCTGGCCCTGCAGCAGCAGCTCCAGTCCGTGCGGCAGGCCCTCACTGCCAGCTTCGCCTCCCTCCCCATCCCCGGTGAGTTGGGGGCAGCTGTGGAGCCCCCCAGCTGCTGGGACCCCTGCCTGGGCAGGGGGGCACTGAGGGGTCCCTCCATCCCATGCAGGGCAGCACTGTGGAGCAGTGGGGTGGTGATAAGTGCCCATCTGCTGCTGGGGTGGGATCCTGCAGCACTTGGGAAGCTGTCCAAGAAGCCCAGGGATGTGGCAGCCAGCTGGCTTCCCTGTCCTGGGATAGGGCAGGCTGGGATTCCTCCTTCTCTGGAGCCACACACACAGCTGCACCCCAGATTGGCCCAAATCCTTGTGTTCCTGGGCTTGTGCCACTGCAGGAGATGGCATCTGGTACTGGGATCCCTTTGCAGTCCCCAGCGCATGAGCAGGTTGGGCTGGGGCCCTGCTGGCCCTGCTCACTGGGCTGTCACCTCACAGGCACTGGGGAGACCCCAACGCTGAGCACCCTGGACTTCTACATGGCCAAACTGCACAGTGCCATTGAGAGCAACCCGCTGCAGCACGAGCCGCTGGTGCTGCGTGTCAAGGAGATCCTGTCCCGGATTGCCAGGTGAGTGCAGGGCTGGGGCCATGGCACTGCAGGGCTGAGCTCCAGCTGGTGGCCATGGGAGCTGAGCAGGAGAGGTGTGGGCAGAAATGGGCAGAGATGGTGCAGCTGCTCCAGGGAGCTGTGGGAGAGGGAAGCCCGTCCCTGAATTCAGGAGGTGTCTCCATGTCCAAAGGTGCTGATCTGTTGTAGCAAGCCCAGGGAAGCCCACAGAGATGATCCACGAAGGGGCTGGAGCTCCTCTGCTCTGGAGCCAGGCTGGGAGAGCTGGGGGTGCTCCCCTGGAGAGGAGAAGCTCCAGGGAGAGCTCAGAGCCCCTGGCAGGGCCTGAAGGGGCTCCAGGAGAGCTGGAGAGGGACTGGGGACAAGGCCTGGAGGGACAGGACACAGGGAATGGCTCCCACTGCCAGAGGGCAGGGCTGGATGGGAGATTGGGCAGGAATTGTTCCCTGGCAGGGTGGCAGGCCCTGGCACAGGGTGCCCACCCTGGATCCCTGGCAGTGCCCAAGGCCAGGCTGGACACGGCTTGGAGCACCCTGGGACAGTGGAAGGTGCCCTTGCCATGGCAGAGGGAGGAGCTGGATGAGCTTTAGGACTCCTTCCAATCCAAACCATTGTAGGATGCTGTGACTCAGCTGTTCTTTTCTCCCTCCTCAGTGAACACTTGTGAGAGGACCAGTCCTTCCAGACCCCGGACCTGGCTGGGCCCTGGGCCTGTCCCTTGGAGCTCACTCAAGGGACAGTCTCTGCAGGGCCTCTGGCTGCTCCCCCTGCCCCTTGCACCTTCCTGCAGCCAGGACCCCCAGCCCTGACCGCCTGAGCCACGGCTGCACAAGCTCCAGGGACCTTGAGCTTCAGGGGACAAGCGGTGACAGGGCTGAGAGCCCAGCTGGGGCAGTGCTGGGAGAGGGTCAGCATTGGTGTGAGCACTCCTGCTTCTCCCCCGGGTCCCCCAGCCCTGCCTGCCAACCAGGGGCTCCCTGAAGCCTGACTGAGGCAGGGAGGCCTTGGTGGGTTTTGGCCTGGAGTGAACACACCCCTTTAGGGTGAACTGGGGCTGTGGGGAACTGGGGGTGACAGAGACCCCCTTGGTGCTGGTGCTGCCTCCTGTCCCCTGGCCAGCTTGGGAGCCTCTTGGTCCCATCTCAGCAAGGGCATGAGGGCAGCTCCTTCCCACCACCTGCCTCAGCTTTTATTTGATGGGTGCCTTCAGCCCCTGCCCCTGTCACCCTCCTTCCCTTCCATATCTGGGACCAGGCAGTGAGCTTCTGAAAGCAATAAAACTCTTTAGGCCAGAGGGGAGCTGGAACGGTGGCCCCCTCCTGGGGAAGGGAGCAGAGGAGAGCTGGGACTGACCCCCTCCCATGGTGGGGACCCCTGGAAGAGGGGAGCTGGGACCCACCTTGTCCTAGGGTGGGGACTCCTGTAGCAGGGGAGTTGTGACCCACCCTTTCCTGCTTGCGGGTACCCTGGGTGTGCTGCACTGGCTTTTGCCTCCTGCCCCTTTTGCCTGAGCCCCCCTGCTCTTGTGGGACCACTGTGCTGGCAACCGGGGTCAGGCTTTGTGTCCCCGGGACTGCCTGTCATTAATCTCAGACTCTGTAATTAGAGAGTGTCTTATTTTCTTACTTAGCACTACATGGGCCTGGGCCTGGCCCTGGGTCTGACGGGGACTGGGGTGTTCCCACCCCTCCCTCACTTGCCGGGCCTGCGCTGTGCATCTGCCATTTGCCATCTCCTGCTGCCGCTGGGCTGGGGATGGAGATGGGAGCAAATAAATGTGGGAGAAATCCGCTCTGGTCCCTTTGTGTTTGTGCTCAGTGGGAGCTCTGGAGCTGCTCCTGGGCTGGATTGTTGGGGTGGTTCTGGGGGTGCAGCCCCCAGCTCCAGCTGGGGAGGAGGTGATGGTGCTGGCTCGGCTCCTGGGCTCTTCCTACGTGGCAGAGCTCACCCGATCCCCGCGGGTGACCTGCGCTGGTGGCTCAGGTTCCCACTGCGGGGATCACCTTACGGAGCCAGCCCCATCCATAATTCAGCAGCGCCGCAGGGATGCAGCGGGCGGGCAGGCACGGCCGGCAGCCCCCCGAGGGCGGCCCCATGGAGAACGGCGTGGGGCAGGAGCCCCCCGAACCGCCCGGCCCCGCAGCCCCCCGGCCTTCCCGCGCCCGGCCCAGGCTGGTGTTCCACACGCAGCTGGCCCACGGCAGCCCCACGGGCCGCATCGAGGGCTTCACCAACGTCAAGGAGCTCTACGCCAAAATCGCTGAGGTCTTCGACATCTCGCCTACCGAGGTGAGGGGCTGCGGCCTGGGGTGGGGTCTTCGTGCCCCAGGCAGGGACACCCACCCTGAGGCACTGTCTGTGGCCTGTGCTTCCCCGAGTCCCCAGATGCTTGCAAATGTAGTCCCCAAAATGTTCTGGAAGAGTGTTATGGCCTCAGGGTTGTATTGGCTCTTCTGGGGAGGGATTGGGGGCTCTGTGCTTCAGTTTCCCCCCAATATGTGGGCAGGGAGCTGTGGCTGCCAGTTCCTGTCTGATTCCAGCTGCCCGGAGCTGGGGGAAGCTGCACAGGGATGAGGCAGTGCAGGGTCCCCACAGGCTGGGGGTCCCTGGGCCCCTCTGTTCTAGCAGTGCCCAGATCTGACTGAATCCCCTTGAACTGGCTGTGGCTCCCCTGACACCTCTTGCCCTACTGGGGCATCCCCAGTCCCTGCTGATGGGGTTCCCCGGGGCAGATCCTCTTCTGCACGCTCAACACGCACAAAGTGGACATGCAGAAGCTGCTGGGGGGACAGATTGGCCTGGAGGATTTCATCTTCGCCCACGTCCGGGGTGAGACCAAGGAGGTGGAGGTGACCAAGACAGAGGACGCGCTTGGCCTCACCATCACAGACAACGGGGCTGGCTACGCCTTCATCAAGGTGAACCCCCGGGGAGCAACCCGTGGCTGAGGCAGCCCTGGGGACTGTGGCCCTGCAGGTGACATCTCCTGTGCATCCCCTCCCTGGCACCGGGCTCCTCCCTGACTCCCCACATCAGTCCTTCCCTGGCTCCGCCCTGGCCCTGGGGACGTTTGGAAGGGCTTCCCTGCCTGACCTAGCTACCAAAGGGCATGGGGACCACTGCGGTGGTTGTGCGTGGGGTGGGATGGGGGCTGTGTCTGACTGTCCCCTTGTGCTGCGTGGTCGCTGTGTCCCTGTCCCGCCGTGGTCCCCAGAGGATCAAGGAGGGGAGCATCATCAACCGGCTGCAGACAGTGTGTGTGGGGGACAGCATCGAGGCCATCAACGACCACACCATCGTGGGCTGCCGGCACTACGAGGTGGCCCGGATGCTGCGGGAGCTGCCGCGGGCTCAGCCCTTCACCCTCCGCCTGGTCCAGCCGAAAAAGGCCTTTGGTGAGTTGGGAAGGTCCCTCTGCTCTTGCCCTGGGGACCCTGGGATTGTCCCCAGCCCCCTGTGGCCCTGCAGCCCCTCCCCAGTGACCGAGTGCGTCCCAGGGTTTACTGCCCCCTCTGCACCCCCACTATGTGTGTGTACACACTGCCCTGGGGCACCCACACCTGCCCACCCCGTGGGCACCCCCTTGCTCTGTGAGCGTTGCCTAGAGCATCCATGAGCACCCCATAACCACGAGCATCCCCCCGCCTGCACCCCTGGGTGCCCCTGACACCCCACCCCGTCCCACACACGGCTCACTCTGCAGTGCCCCTGGTGGGTAGGGGGATGGCCGGGCATGAGCAGCAAGGGGCAGGGGATGCCCGGTCCTGCCAGTGCCTCACCCCCACCCGGGGCACAGACATGATCGGCCAGCGGACACGGACGGGCAAATCCCCAGGCGAAGGCAGAGTGGCCAGCGGGAAGGAAACGCTGCGGCTGCGGACACAGGGGCCGGCCGTGCTGGAGGAGGGGGTAAGGCCCACCCGAGTCCCCCATCCCGAGCCTGTGGCGGCTCACCCTGTGCCAGGGTGGCCATAAGCATCCCCGCGCCCCTGGGTGCTCCGTGCGCTGCCCGGCACTCACCCCCGGCCGCCTCGCCCCCAGCCCAGCCCCTCCGAGGAAGAGGATGCCCGGCGGGTGGACGATCTGCTGGAGAGTTACATGGGCATCCGCGACAGCGAGCTGGGTGAGGAGGGGGCCCAGAGCCTCACCTGTAGCTGACCCTGCCCCTACCCCTACCATTGACCTGCCCCTGCCCCTTCCCCAGCATCGCACTGACCCAGCTCCTCCTCCTGATGCAGCTCCTGCCCCCAGACCCTGACTCAGCCCCTGATCCTGTCCCAGCCCCTCCCACTGGCCCTGACCTCCCTCTTCTCCCCAACAGCCTCGACGATGGTGGAGGCTGCCAAGGGCAGCCCCAGCGTGGCCCAGCTTGCCCAGGGGCTGGACTCGGTGCTGGGCGAGTTCGCCTTCCCCCCGGAGTTCGTGGCCGAGGTGTGGGCAGCCGTCTGCCACCCCAAGGGGGATAAGGAGTAGCTGGGTCACTTTTGTCCTTTCCTCACGCCCCCACCTCATCCCCACCCCATCTGGGGCTGAGGTGCTGGTGGGGGTCCCCATCCTGTCCCCCACACCCTCCTGATCAGCACCTAGGTCTGTCCCTTGGCTTGGGGGCCAGAGGGCACCCAACCCACCCACCTTCCTGAGGATCCCCCTGCACATCACCCAGTGCGGTGGGCAGCGGCTGTGGCTCATTAAAGGAGAGACTGGAGGAGAAGGGCTGTGCTGTGATTGCCAGCAGGGTGGGTCCCTCCCTGGGCCCCCCCCAGTGGTCACCCCCAGCGGGCACCAAGAGCTGCACGAGCTGTGCTTTATTTGGGAGCGGGAGGGGGATGCAGCCCTGTGCCCCCCTGGCTGTTGGGCTTGTGAGGGGGGAAGCCCCTGGATGCGGGTGACGAGGATCCCCTGTGGGTGTGGGATGGGGCATGGCCGTGTCCCCCTGCCCAGTGCCCGTCCCAGGGCGCTACTGCAGGACAGAGGCAGCGGTGAGCTTGCGGGGCAGGGAGGGGCTGAGGGAGACGATGGAGGGCCGGGGGGGCAGCCGGGGGTACACCCGCTGCAGCACGGCCCGGCGGAACAGGATGTACACCCAGGGGTCCAGGATCTGGTTCCAGGTGACCATGCGGATGTAGATCAGCAGCATCTCCTGCGTGTCCGTGGGCAGCACCCGCGCCTGGCCAGGCAGGTGCTGTAGGACCATCTGGACAATGAAGATCTGGGGGGAGAAGGGGACAAAAATGACAGCGGAGGATCCATGAGCTGCTCCAGGATGGGGAAGTGATGAAGGTCCTCCTTGGAGGAGTCCTGGCCCAGTTTGGGGCACTGCTCTGCCTGTCACCAGGGGCCAACTCAGGGTATAGAGAGGTGGCAGGGGGACACTGGCAGGGGAGGTCTTACCAAGGGGACACCCCCAGAGCTGGGACCTCCCTAGCAGGGACATGGAGGGGACACAATGAAAGCTGGCACCTCACTGTGAAGGGTGGGGGACACCAAGCCCCAGGAGGGGCATTGGTGGGGGGAACACACCAAGACTGAGACCCCACAAGGAGGAACAGGTGACACAAAGAGGAACAGGGGACATAAAGACCCAGGAGGGACATGGAGAGGTGGTGATGGGGCACGCCAGGACAGAGGCCTCACCAGAAGGGGCATCCAGCAGATGGTGGCGATGATCATGATGCCCACGAGCTGCACCATCATCTCCACCTCGCTGTCACGGCGCCGCTGCACCGACTCGCGGTCGTGGTAGACGCGGCAGAGCGTGACCACGCTGACGGTGTTGAGGACGAAGGAGAGCAGCACGGAGAGGATGCCCAGCAGGGCGAAGAGCAGGCAGAAGATGACGTTGCCAGTGTCGGGCAGGAGGGTGAGGAAGCACCAGGAGCCCGGGAACTGCAGCGTGTAGCGCCCCAGCCCCAACAGCGGCAGCAGTCCCAGCAGGCAGGAGAAGCCCCACACCAGCCCCACGATGGCCCAGGCGCGGCGCTTGGAGAGGCTGGTGGAGCGGGAGAAGGGGCGGTTGATGCCCAGGAAGCGCTCCCCGGCCATGGTGGCCCCCAGCAGCAGCGGGCACTGCCCGAAGAAGACCATGGAGAAGCCGAGGAAGTTGCAGAGGTGGCAGCCAGGGTCGACCTTGGCCCAGGAGAACTTGGTGAAGTGGTAGGGGATGATGACCGAGGCTGTCACCAGCAGCCCCATGAAGTCTGTGACCACCAGCCCGCAGAGAAAGATGAGGAAGGAGGAGCGGGCCTGGCTGGAGAGCTTGCGGGAGGAGCTGACCAGGACGCAGAGGGCAAAGAGGTTGGAACAGAGGCCGATGAGGCCGAAGGTTGTGGAGAACCAGGGTGAAGTGATGCTGTTCTGGGCGCTGGCACGGCCATCGCTGGCATTGAACACCCCGAAGCACGAGTCTGCCTGCCCGGCCGTGCTGCTGTTGGGGGGCTCCATGTCCTGCACTCCCTCCTGCTCCTTCCAGCAGCCTCAGGCACCCACCTGGCTCTGCTCCATGGCAGGAGCCCCCCGCTGCTGCCAGCACCAAGCCCGCCTCGCCCTGAGGGGGGAACAGAGGGAATTTAGGGCTGTTCCCTATAGCCAAACCCACCCATCATCCATCCCAAGCCTGCACAGACGGGGGACCTCCAGGGTATGCGGACAGGGACACTGGGGTGGGACCCCAGCCCATGGAGAGGGACACCAGGGTGGGACCTGGCTGGTGCCGCCCCCAGGCACAGCTGCAGAGGGTGCCAAGGGCTGCAGCCCTGGAGCTGCTGGGATTAACTGTCCCGGGCCAGAAGCC